TACTATATATCGTATATTTTCGTCATTACCTTATTTAGGTTTGATTAGTGCATTTGTCTCAAGAGCAAAGTCTTTCAAGTTTAAGCAAGGCAGATGTATTTTTCATTCTTTTAACACAGAAGTAAACTTTGAAAGCTAGACATTTATTCGTCGAAAACAGCAAGAGAATATCCTGATTCTTTTTCTGCACTTCACTACTTATTCCTCACCTTGACTGTCCTTTCGAAATACCACGTCATTCGCCGCCAGAGTGCTTGCAGGAAGTCCACCAGGTGACGTCACCCTCGGGTCATTGGGGTCAACTGATACGTCTAGCATATGGTCGAGAAGGAATTGTTTACAGAGTTCAGTAAACTGACTGCTGTAAAGAGGGTGAGGGGCGTCTTGAGGCACCAGGTTGGTCATCAGGAAGGCATCGGGTGACAGCAAGGTCCTGACAGCTGAAAGAAAAGGTTAGTATGCTTGATTTTTCGAGTTTTTTCTCTTTAGTTATCTGTCTGTTTCTCGACATATCTATCTGTCGGTCTAGATCGATATTTATTTGCATACGAACATACATTTCCATCTACTTTTCAGGAATCTTTCGGTTTTCTAGTGGATTGAACTTATATTACGACAAAAGCCGATACAGACTTTTCCCTGACATGTATCGAATATTCTTCGTATAACCTGCTATATCAATGTGTCAATGTGTCAAAGAGATTATAAATATGGTAAGCAGGATTTGACATGACTACGTCTGTGATTTCTTTTTTCGAGAGTCCACGCGTCGCACCTTCGACATTTATCTTACATGACGAGATCATAAATATCCAAGAAATTTATTCATAATACGTTGCACTGCGTTGGGCTTGTGCCAAACAGATTACGGGTCACCTACCTTATCTTCCTTTTAATTAGCTTTATCAACTTATGCTCATACATCTTACGTTTTTGCTATATTATTGCCAGTGCATTCATTCACCAGTTTCTGAAGAACGTTTGACATTCTGACACTGAAAGTCAGTGTCCTATTCCAGTGGCCCAACCTATGGCGCGTCGAACTTCTATCTATAAATAAGATTCAATATCTTCACGTTAATGAGCCATAATCATTAGATGAGTGGATTAACGGGAGCATATCGATGCATATGCTATTGATGAAAGTTAAATAAACAAAACATTTAATAAACGGACGCTCAATGCGTATATGTAGGCCTATGTACGTAAATACATATGTATGCAAATACATATGCATGCAGACTTATGCAATAAATACTTATACTCATATGTATCTGCCTTTATATCTACTGTATATCACTTTCTGCTTCAGAGGAGAAGTTTGTTATCCAATCTTTATAAAATACATCGACATCATTCATTTACATGAACTTAACCTTGCCTGGGTGTTTTTACTCATCTAACCTTAACGATCAAGGTTAGATGAGTAAAAGCACCCAAGGAATGGTCTGAAAATATGGAATCTACAATGCAAGCTGGTATATTGGTATAATTTCCTCACAGAAAATTCCTTTAATTTTCCTCGACGATTAAAGGTATTGAGAACAAATATGAACATGAACGTTGTAAAATGCATTTGACATTCCGATTGCCATGTCTGATATTATCTTTCCCGAAACACTAACTATAGCTGTAAACACTGAATACGCCTGCAAATCGTAGTCAAGCCAGCATTAGGCATACCAGCTGCAACGCGCGGGATTCATCAGGCCTACCAGTAATGGTGATGTTTGACAGTTCGGAACCTCCAGTATCTCGTCCCGGACAAGTAGTCTAGCTCGTCCAGCTCACCCTTCTGCGAAGGTGGCCGAGCAGGACGAGATGACGTCACAATAGATTTTGTATGTAAACATTGACAGTTGCAGGTAACCACAAGATATTGGTGGGTAATTTTATGACCCTTAATTGGTGTTATCAAAGGATATTTTTGTGTTTGTCAGTTGCAGGTAAGTTAAATGTGTATCAAAAGGAGTTACAAAACCTATGCAGCGTGTAAAATAAAGACACCAGTATGCTAAAAAAGTAAATGTTTACATTCGAGCCGGTTGCATTCTGGGCAGAAATGGTTTTGGAGGTTCCGAACGCGGCGCATCTCGTCCTGCTGGTCCTGGACAAGTTGTCTGGACGAGATAGACGAGCAGTTCCGAACGCTGCATAAGTACCCGCAGACAAGACCTTGCCCGCAGATGTCACCAGGGAAGTGGCTTGCCCGAGCAGCTTAATGATGCAGTTAGCTAGTGCGGGGTTCTCCACACTCTTTCCTGGGAGCTGAGTTGCAGGGCCCGCCCCAGTGTTTTCATAGTACTGCCGTAAGTAAGTGCAGTTGTGCATGCGTATTTAACAAATGCCAACAGCAGGCCACAGTCTTAAAAAATGAAACTACTGACAAAGGCAATGAACTTTCTCGCTCCCCTTTGAATGCCATAATGGTAGTTGCTAGTACTGATCATTCGACGAATTTCACATTCTTTAACTTTCAGTATTAATAATGCTGGTTTAGACTTTCATCACACCAGAAAAATGTGATATACAAAAATGAGTTTGATTAATGTGAATAAAAAGGTATCTACAGAGAACGTTTTCTATAGACAAATATCTTGGTAATAAACACGGTAGATGCACAATGGCAATATTTTCTTTAGTTTTTTATCTCATTAACTGTGAAACTACATTTATGATTATCATTATTGCTATTATCACACTTTTCATCATAACTATGATTATTATTATTATTAGTGTTATCACTCAGTAGGAACAGCAGCAATTGTATTATTATCATTATTATTAGTGTTATTATTATTATCATTATTATTATTATTATATTCTAAAGAGAAGGAAAGAGTGCCCAAAAAGAAAGGGAAAATGGGGAAGGGGAAACAGAGGGAACTTGAGGAGGAAAACCGGATGAGTAAAGGAAAGGGAGAAGGGGCTTCGATGGGAGAGGGAGGGAAGGGGATAAGAGAGCAAAGGAGGTGGGGGAGGAAATGAAAGGGGACGGATGTAGGGTTTAAAGTGGGAGGAGAAGAGTGAATTTAAGGAAGTGAGTGAGAGGTTAGGTGAAAGGTACTCGTAGAAGGAGTACCTCTATTTTTCTTTCTTTTGCTCCGTGGAATTTCCTACACGTGCTGCTAGTCATTATCAATACTACTACTACTATTATTATTATCGTTGTTATTTTTAATATTAGCGTTATTATTATTTTATCATTATTAACAATACCACCAATATTATAATCATTTGTGCAAAAGTTATTACTACTATCATCGTTCTGTACCACTCACGTGATTCATTCGCCTGAGCAGTCGTGCGCTGTCGTCTGACTGCGTGGTTCCAAATATGAAAGAGCGAACATCCATCAAGAGTCACACCTGCAGGGCGCTCAGGCACAAAGCTCGTCACAGCCGCTTCAGTCGTCATGGTTATCATGAAAACCACAATTGTTGTTAACACGAAACCTGGAAAATTTAAGAATATCACTTCAGTATCTGCTGCGTCACTGCTGCTGTTATCTTAACTTTATCGTGATCTCTGATAATACCGCGATTATCGTGATGGTTATTTCATTGTACACTGTACTTCCGGATAGATATTTTTTGGCGAAATATAATAATGTGTAACATTTGCAATATCGTGGTGCAATGAGAGAAGTAAAAGGGGAAACAGGTTCTACTATTGGTTATTGTATGAAATCAATGGATAAACATTCATTGCTTCAGAGACAAGTATAGGCCTTCGATCGCTATGCATTTGTTTGCAATTTGATTTTCGATAATATTATTAATTTGCTTTACAAATCAGAAAATGACATCGAGGCATCGAAGATTGTTCATTAAAGCGAGTCATGATTGTGATTGAGATATAACGCAATGCAACGCACAATATTTTCACTGAAATATCAAAATAGAAAATAACATATATCATGCTTCCAAATGTCTGTGTTCTTTCCCAACTAAAATTACATTCATGAAAACATATATTCTGAAATACTTTCTCAGATAAATGGAAACCTGTTTTTTTTATATAAAATGGCCTAAAAAGAGATTGCTGCAATGGCAATATCCGAGGAGGAAACGAGTACAGTCGAAGGCAGTACAAACCAGATAGATGACAGGATAGTGTGTAGAGAAATGTGGGTTAAAACTTATATGCTTATTAGAGTAAAGGCTCTTCGCTTATTCTCGCTGCAATCATAACGCACAATTAAATAAATATCTGTGTCATCATTGCACCCCAAGAATCCGTTTTTATATATACTAGCCTTTGTTATAGCTTAACCTTGACTGTGAGTTGGCATGACCTTGATTTACCTGATTTGTATGTCTTTTCGGGAGGAGTATTTTACGCAGCAGATGAATGTTCGAAAAATAGATACTTCATATCGTGATATTGATAAGTTTGTTTTTCATATCTTCTGTTTTAGTGTATTTTACATTTATAAGAGGTAAATTGATAGTTAAAACAATATATATGTCTACATACAAACAGAATATCACGGTTTGAATAGATTGAGAGTAAAATATTGGCTGATATTTCACAGGTCCAAAGAAATACGTCGTATTTTATTTTTATTTTTAACTTAAGATATCATTTTGATCGTTCTAGAAAAAAAGCTGACCTGGTCTCAACTCCTATTACAAGTTCGCAGTATCTCCTGCGTGTCCGCGCTATCCACTGATCTCTTGTTCCACCTCGCCATATCATTTTCCTTTCTCCCTCCTTCCCACCCTCTCTCTCTCTCTCTCTCTCTCTCTCTCTCTCTCTCTCTCCTCTTCTCTCTCTCTCTCTCTCTCTCTCTCTCTCTCTCTCCCTCTCGCCTTCTCTCTCCTCTCCCTCTCTCTCTCTCTCATTTCTCTCTCTCTCTCCCCCTCTCTCTCTCTCTCTCTCTCTCTCTCTCTCTCTCTCTCTCTCTCTCTCTCTTCTCTCTCTCCCTCTCTCTCTCTCTCTCTCTCTCCTCTCCCTCCTCCCTCCTCCTCTCCTCCCTCCCTCCTCCCTCGCCCTTCTCTCTCCTCTCCCTCTCTCTCTCACTTTCTCTCTCTCTCTCCTCTTCTCTCC